AACACTTACTGTCTTTTTCTCTTTGCTTTGTAGACTGCCACAATGCTTTTTTGCTTAAAATTTTTCTTGCTGTTTCTAATAGTTGTATGCCAGCTTGGCCCATCTGGTGCTATTTTCCCAGCATTTCACAGTACTGCCTTACTATTCAAAGATATACTTAAACATTTCCTTAGAACATTTCTTATGCTCACCTTGCAATGATCACTCTACTGTGGTCACCTTGCTGCAAACCGAATTCTGATGAACTGAGCATGTGGGCATGAGGATGTCAGCAGGACCCCAAGCAATTGTGTGGATAATGGATACTGACATCCATCGTCTACACCTGCTCAGCTCAGCAGAGTTCTGATGCAGCAAGCACTGCTTCACTGCTGGCACATGGCTGCATTCCAGAACTCTAGTGGTAGACTGAATGGCAGTGCACATGTTTTGAGAAACTCTTACACCTTGACTAGCTGAGAATATATATGATCAAGAGTCCTTGAGAGGACTATGTGATGTGTTGATAATTTCACTTTGATGTATAAAAACTCATGGATTGTCCTACAAAATCAGCATTCTCCTATGGATTCATGATTAGGGCCCAGAAAGTTGAAGGCACACACTATACAGCAGAGAACGCTTATGTCCAGCTAGAGATGTTTAATTTTAATACTAAAAGTTATTATTATTCTGCTTCCTAGAGAGTAGATTTCTGATGTTCTGATTTATACAGACAAGGAAAGTTGAGATAGGGCATCTTTTTGGAATTTGAAAAATCAACTATAGCATGAAAATGCCCACAATGCCAAGGCAAGGCTAAGAGTACAATGAGTAATAGCAATACCCATCAAAATATCCTAAGAGTATCACAAGACATTTCTCCAATACATTCACCCATGTTATCTGCAAGCACCCTTAGCATTAACAGGAAAGGCAGTCTCGCTGGCTAGTTAATTAAATGTGGTCAGTCGGTCCAACAGAATAGAAGTGATGCTCCCACACAGCTTCTTTGATCAAGGCTGAAGGAGCAGAAACCCACCTATCATGAGCTAGGTTGACAAGAAAAATATTATGTGGCTAAACTGCTTCACAATTTAAAGAATAACGCATGAATTATGGTCTAAGTAGTCAGAGATTTTAAAGTTCAATATCCTCCCTCCTATGGTAGCACTCAGTGTCATTTTTAGGAAATGTGGTCATTACCTTCCCTGACCTCATCCTCAAGAGTCAGGATTCTGACATCAACCCATTATATGTTAGAGCAGGAAGGGACCTTAGAAATGGGTAAGTGCACTCCCTCACTTCATAGATGAAAAACATGAAGACCAGATGAACGATTGTGGGCAGATCTAGCAATAAAACCTCTAATTCTCGTTCATCGTTCCTTTTATAAGGGAAAGTAGGAGCACATTTTGACTGGAAATCACCAAATCACCATAGTCTAAAAATGCAGGTGGAATTTATTAAGGGGCGTCTGGGTCCCTTACTATACTGCACTACATTGACTTAAAAGAAAAATGGATGAAAAAAGTTGGGTCTTCATGGTCCTGCTGCTTAAAGATCTTACTTTCTACTCAAGGATACATGTAGATAATTTAGAAAACCATACACAAGCAAGTACAAATTGATATGGTGAGATTGAAGGGCAAAAACAGTAAGAACCCTGGGCCACTGAGAGCTTTTTGTCCTCTGGTTAAGAATGCTGGCAGTTGAATTGAATTCCATATCTACACACGTTTACAGCCCACAGGTACAGTGTGTGACTGTGCAGATGCCTAGTTAGTGGTCAGTGGAGAACTGGCAAAGGTCTGAGGAGGCTACAGACTAGACAACATGCAATGGAGAAATTAATAGGGACCAAGCGGAGGAAAAGGGAAATTATTTCTGCCTGTGGTGAAAGAAAATGGAGGTGGTTAGCAGAGTCTGTCCTCCCCATCTGATTCTAAACTTTGTTTTTATTACTCTGTCCAGCTTTGCTCAAACATACCAAACCTTCATGAATAATTAATCAATAAGCCATGTTTAAAGCATAATCATGTGCCATTAACCATCAACAAGCTAAGTAAGTGTTCAACTTATCAAAAATGTAAGGAGCAAGGACTGAGAGTAAAGGGACAGATTTCTAGCTCTGCCTCTTCTACTAACAAGCTATTTGACCACAGGCAAGTCACCTTGCAGAGACTCAGTTTCTTCATCTATATAAGATGGGAAGATTTAACTAGATGGTCACTGAAGATGTTTTTACTGTCTTATCTTTCTGACTTGAAAAGGAAGAGAAGAGGCAGTAGTATTGGTTGAATGCTGAATATATGTGGAGGGGAAATAGTGAGGCTCCTTCTTAAATCCCTTTCCTCAGATTTTGATCACTTGTTTAGGATTATATAGAAAAAATATTTGCCAGTAAATGTAGAAATATAAATAAAAGTGTTGAGTGGAAGACATCTGGAGACGAAGTTAAAATCTTTCATTATTAACAGTAGTCTATTGAGCATTCTATAGTCAGTATCCAGTATTTAATGGAGTTTGATTAGGTGGACACACATGTTTAATAAAATGGTGACAGTGACATTGCTCTTGTCAGAACACAGTAAGCATTGCCACATCCAGACTTTCATGTTGCCAAATCCCCCTGTTGTGATGAGGGTCTTATGAGCTTATTTGGCTGCTCAGGGGAGTCTCCCGCACCACGAGGCATTAGGCTACCAACTCTGAAAGGACTGACAGCATCGTTTCCCTGTGAGGCATGTCCTATTTGTTTTAGTCACTCTCGTTTTATTCCACTAAGAAAATTTCTCCTCTTCTTAGAATCTCCTTAATCTTCTTCATAGTCACAATCTCATTGCTCTTTTTGCGATCACATTGATTTCACTGTCAAACTATTATTTTGAAATAGATTATTTTGAGAAAAATCTAAAGCAAATAAATGGTTCTTTAAAAAGTCAGTTTGCTTTAGGTGAAAAAGGAAACCAAAGGTTTCAGATAGATTAGAGAAATGTGTCTCATTTCATTTATGTTCTGTCCTAGAGAGAGAAAGTAAATACGGCCCCTGTGGTGCAATGTAAAATACTATCATCCCCTGCCTTACCCTCCACCTCTCAGCTCCATGCAACGGGAATGGAGGCACTTACCCAGCTAAGTGGTATACTGAAGTGTCCAGTGAACAAGTTGGGAAATGTTATAGGTAGGCCTACAGGTGCCTATTTATGTGAGTTCAGTCCCCAGGAATAATTTTACTGTCATTGCTGTTTCACTCTTTTATTTCCAATTCATTTCAGATGCCTCGCTGACGAGATAATTAGAAAGATCACAAAGCGAGTGGAGATATAAGTCACATCTGTAATAAGGGTGCTATCACCCACCCACTTGCAGTCTGTCTTCTCTTCTCTCTCATTCCCCTAGATTGTTCTCTCAGAGGTTCTCAGGAGCTCCAGTGTCGAGCACCCTTGCTCAGGTTTGCTTCTGGCGGACTTCTTTCTATGGCGCATGCTGTGGTTCCCCTCCTTAGTACCTGATGTCAGCCCAGTGGCCTCACGCACAGAGTTTTCCTCCACTGTTCCTGATTCTCTTACTCCGTGTTCTTCCCTGTCCCTCTCTTCTTGCCTAAACACGGGCCTTGCCAATGTTTTGCCTTTGGACAGGATTTCTTTCCCGCTTCCTCTACCACCACAGGAAGCCCATCCACTGTGATTCCACTCTCATCTTCATGTAGATGACCCCAAATACTTGTGTCTCTCACACTCTCCACCTACCTCTCTTCTAATTGCCCGCTTAATGAATTCATCACTGCGAGCTATTGGCATTTTGAAAACTAGTTGACCATCTCCACCAAACCAACTCCCTGCTCCTATCTCTCTTTCTTTAACGACTTCACCATTTTCCCAGTCATCTGAATTTGAATGGATGCTTCTGAACTGTCTTTGATTCTTGCTTTTCTTCACGCCAGCCCCAACCAATTAAAACCATGCTGTAACAACGTCTGCAATTTGCCTTTTTCAGTTTGAATATATGATCAACATTTTCCTTGCCAATATTTTCTTTTTAATGTTTGTATAGTATTCCAGAGCATTGGTATATGGTAATTTCTTTAACATCCCGTTGGTATATGTTTAGATTATTCCCAGTCTTTTTTTTTTTTATTACAAGTAATGCTACAATTAAATCATCATTGATATATCTTTATGGAATTGCTGCATCTAAAGGCATGAACAGTTAAATTATGAGACTATTGTGAAATTTGCCCTCAAAACATACAAATTTGCCCTGTTCCAACAGTGGATTTGTTATCCATACTTTCTCTAGTGATCTGAAGTACTGTTTTGTGTTCCAGCGTGTCTGTTAGTCTTTTTTTGGGCTTACGATGTATTTCCACGGATCTTTGCTGAGACTTTTGCCAGTGCCATACAATCCTATTTATTATATTTTTATAGCATTTTCATATTTGTTTAGGTATGTCCTCCCATATTAGTCTTTCTTTTCAAAATCTCCATGGCTATTCTCCCAGTAAAAGCTTAGCATTTCTAAGAATTTATAAAGCCTCCTGCACTTACAACTATTAATTGATATTTTGACTTACCTGCATTAAATTTACACATTTTTGGATCTTTACAATACTGAATCTTTCCATTCAGAAGTAAGATATGTATCTCTCCAATTATTTGATTTTTCTTAACATCCTTCATTAATGTTTAATAATTTTCTCCATTTGGGCCTTGGATACTTGTTATTAGACTTATATCTAGCACCATTTTTGTTCACACAAATGAAATTTTTATTATATTTTCTAACTGGGAATTATTCACTTATAGGGTAGCTTTTGACATCATTAGTTTAATCTTGGATTTGCCACCCAACCTAACTATCTTGTTTATTCATTAACTCTCTTAGGCTTCCATATTTTTCAGCAAAAGATTCTGTTATTTTAATTTATTTTACCATGAGATATTATACTTCTCAAACCATAAACACAAGAGCATCACCAATGATTTTCATTTTGGAAGAAGCAAATCTTCAACCGAACCATGTCTCTGGGGTGTGTCCCCACACCCTGCACGGCATTGACTCCCCGTTCAGGCCTCCCGTCCACCGGCAGCGAGCGCCCTTGCTCTCGCTTCTCCATTTTAGTCTCCCCAAAATCTGTCCATCTGTAAGTTCTTTCTCTTCCATAAATCCTTTCCTGACAATCTTAACATCATTCCACTTTTTTCTCCTCTGAAACCTCATTCATCCTACATTGATAGCTCCCATAGCACTTCCTTTGTGCAAGTCGTTGGCATCAACTGTTAACAGATTGTATATGAGTTGGAGGCAGGGGCTATCTTTTGTCATCCTCATATCTTCTGCAGCTTCTGGTGCTGCTTCCTTGTATGTTGTTAGCTCAATATACGTGTTTTTATTCAATCTAATACATCAAGTGTCTGGAACCTAGAATCTTAGCCAGGGGGTTCTATTTTCTATTCCTCCCATTCCTGTACCATTAATCATGGATGGACAAAAGTTTCATTGGCCATCCGTCACTGATGGGGTAATTAAATGATGAGGTCAGCAGAACACAGGCTTCTTATATGCTCATAAAAAATGCTGCTTGATTTCTTCCTGATGAATAGTCCTCCCACTTTACCTTTAAAATGCACCATCACACAGCCCCATAGAAACAAAAATCCTGAAAAATCTTAACTGATCTATAGAACTAGAGTTGTAATTGCTTTCTCTTCTGACTGTTAAAATGTTCTACTTTGGAGAAAATGTTCATTTTATTTTTATAATTTAATTTTATAGGTACATAATGTTATTTTATATTGCAGTTTTAACTAGTATGTACCTTGGAGTTCAATTATGAAACTTACAAAATCCATTTATATTAAAAGCTGTAACAGTGTATCATTTTTCACAAAGGCTCTGCATTGAATGACTTCTTTACTGAAACATTTTTTTCTCTTCCTTAGGGATGGAGAAGCTCAACTATTTTTTCCATTAGAGATGAGATTAAGTTAAAATAAATATGAGAAGTATTCTAATGAAGGAAGAGATAGACAAAATACTGACCTATTTCCATTTATAATATTTGAAAGCCATCTGCCTTTTAATCTGCTTTTTTTACTCAAAACATAGGGAAAGCCTTTGCAGTCTAAAACAACAGGCTCTTTGAAATCCAGAAGAAATTAAACAGGTTTTGTGGCTCTCCATTGCAATGTTTCTACATTGCAAAACCAAGTAAATAAAAAACAGTGCCAAGAAGTATACAAACAACTAGGTCTGGATTCAAGCAACTGTGACAAGTAGTGTTATAAGCCCTGGTGATGGTAAAGCCTGTTTCTTCTTAATTAAATGGTACAATACCACAAGAATAAGGTTTCTTTGAGAGCTAAAGAGGATTTCAGACTGGTTTTATATGCCAACCTATTCTTCATTTAAAACAGTCTCCTAGCTAAGATATTTAAAAAAGTAAGCACATTTCTCTATGAAGCCACATAGAGTGCCTGTAAAGCAGCAACGTTTGTGGTCCATGAACCTCAGGTCTCAGCAAGTGGTTTCTATAATACCATAGCATGGTGGAATTTCTCTGCAAAAACCGCAGCTCCTCATATTGATTGAACGCTCCGGGAGATAGACCTAGATGGTTGTGTACCCACTGAGTTTTCCGATGATTTGCCAGTGTCATCATATAAGTTCCAAAAATTTTCAGTTGTTGTACTGATATGACCTTTCTTCAGAAATTTTCATTTTACAATAATGTAAGCCATGCTGGAATAATGCACCCTGAACTAACTCATAGCCTTATGCGATTCGGCAAGCTGTGGTAGCCCTTTTAATCCAAAGGTCAGTGTCCATTTGTTTTGTGGCTTGCTGCTTAATCAAACCAAACTGAAGTAATAAACACAAAATACCAAGAGAAGATTTATTTTCCCTGAAGGTCTTTCCTGACATAAGTTTATTTTTCTTACCCGTTTGTTCTTCTATTAGAATGACAATAAGATTAAAATTCATTCTTCCTGAAAATTAAGAGATACCAATCAAGAAGCAATTTTATTTTCGGTCAAGCACTTCAAGGAGGCTGTTCAAACACAGAACCTGTAACCATTCACTGAATGGCTGACTCTACTTTCTCTTTTTCTAACAATCTTTTTCTCTTCCTTCTCCTCCTCCTCGTTTACAAAACAGAGGTCATGCTATAAGGAAGATTTTGAAATGAGTGCCTGATTTCAGTTTTAGGAAATGTTTATTAGGCTTTCTTTTAATGCCAGGAAGCATTAGTCTGTTATCTAGGAAAGTAAGAGTCGGATCCAAGTATGTAATTTAATTAACAATAACAATAATAAATTTTTTAATCTGGCAGTGATAGGCATCATGGAGAGTGGCTGATGTGAAATGTGGTTAATGCAATTCTTTGAGTTTTTCCAAGCTTCTAAAAGGGTGGATAGGAGGAAAAGCAAGTAGTTTGCCATTTGTATGTCAAGGCCTTATTTCCTTTTATCCAATGATATTTCATAAATGTTTGATTTAGAAATAGATTAGAACCTCCAGTGATCTCAAACACACTTCAGACTACAGCCACAATCCACGTTGTGCCTTGGCTCACAAAACCAAAACAAGTCACATGACAACATCTTCAAAGATAAGAAGTATTAACCATTAGCCAAGATGCAAGGCTTGGAAGATGTGGATTCGAGACCCATAGTTAGCTCCTGAAGCAGCATAACTTAGCCTGACATTGAGAACACCTGGGTTTCAGTACATCTGAATTCCAATTAATGGGCTAGTGAATACACATAGGTTTTCTATGGCCAACTATCTTCACATCAGGATAGCAGTGCTCAGTCACCCTACAGGGAAGTTAATAAAACTTGTCACAAGGAAAACAAGTATTTGTCAAGTACCTTACATGAACCAGAAGGCATTCTAGATGCTTGTACTAATTTAGTCCAATTCATTAAACATGGATTGAGCACTTATTATATTCTAGGTAATATGCTTGCTGCTGGGGAGAAATAGATGAGTGGAACTGAAATGTTGCCATCAAAGAGGTTACAGTTGAATGAGAGTCATAATGTTTACTAAGCAGTTACCATGTGCCAGACACTACATTAAGTCCTTCATATGCGTTAAATAATCTATTCTTACAGCAGTTATATGATGTAGGTGCTATTTCATTCCTCATTTTTAGATGAGAAAACTGAGACACAGGGAGTCCAAGGAAATTACAAAGGGTATTCCGCAATTCAGAAACAGGATTCATGCCCAAGACTGTGGCTCCAGTGTTCATACTCACCATCACTTCACTGTCTCTGGAGAAACAGTTACAATACAGTGGTGTCAGTGTGCTTCTAGAAAACTTAAGGAGCACAGAACAGCACAGAGCAGGGAGTGATGGATTTAGTCAAATTGGGGAGGGGAAGTGGAGTAAAAATTCAGAGAAAATAACATTAAATTCAGTAAACCCACAAGGTCTTTATAATTATCCTAATTTTGTTGTTTTACTGAAAAAAATGTTGTTACTCAGAAAGTCTTAAGATTACACAGCTCATATATAACAGAATCAAGCTTCATATCCCAGACTGTCTGCATTCTGCTCTGATGTGCTACTTCTTTTGTTACTTGTGAGGGAAGGAGTAAGCTGAGGCAGGAAGCATGAAAAGTAACTGGGGAAAGAGGAAGAGGATTGTTGGGAGAAGTGAAGTTCAAATTAAGCGGCAGTGTAGAAACAAAGGACTCTTAGAATGCCTCAGAATGAGACACAAAAGCATCAAACAGCTGTTTTAAGCACCCAACTGCAGAGACATATGTGAGAGAAGCAGGAGAGGGGATCGAGGTGGCGTGGAAGGAAGGGAACGCTGGCACCCAAGGGGCAGAGTGAGTCTCTGAAGGAGACAAAGATTCACACAACCCTTGAAACAACTTCATGTCAGTGTAAGAAACACAGATGATAAGAAGAAATGCCCACACGAGAGACTGTGTTGTGGGGGCGGGGTGGTGGAATCAATAATTCATTGAGAATTATGTCAAAAGACATATTTACTGCATTTCAAATTGCTGGAAGGAAATAATTTGATTTATCCTTTTGGGATGGAATGATACAAAACAAATGTTAAAGTAAGTATATACGGAAGCCACAGAATTGCTGGGAGGCACTTGCAGAGACACTGTTCAACAGCCAGGGAATGGAAACAGTATGTGGGTTTCCCCAGTATCGGCAAGTTCACTTGACCCACTTCACTTTTATGAAAGACCTAGGCAGTGCCTGTTTTCGCCACCCAAAAGAAAATCCAAAGAGGATGTTTGCTTTTTTGAGAAAAGGCAAAAAGTGAAAATAGCGTTGAGCGTGTGTTTGTTTGGCCATAAGCGTGTGCTTGGCAGTGAGCGTGTGTTGAGCGGTGAGCATGTATTTGTTTGGCGGTGAGTGTGTGCCTGGCGGTGAGCATGTGTTTGTTTGGCAGTGAGTGTGTGTTTGTTTGGCAGTGAGCATGTGTGTGTTTGGCAGTGAGTGTGTGCTTGGCGGTGAGCGTGTGCTTGTCTGGCGGTGAGTGTGTGCTTGTTTGGCGGTGAGTGTGTGCTTGTTTGGCGGTGAGCGTGTGTTTGGCGGTGAGTGTGTGCTTGTTTGGCAGTAAGCGTGTGTTTGGTGGTGAGCGTGTGCTTGGCGGTGAGCGTGTGTTTGTTCGGCGGTGAGCGTGTGCTTGTTTGGCGGTGAGCGTGTGTGTGTGTTTGGCGGTGAGCGTGTGCTGGGTGGTGAGCGTGTGCTTGGCGGTGAGTGTGTGTTTGGCGGTGAGCGTGTGTGTGTTTCGCGGTGAGTGTGTGCTTGTTTGGCGGTGAGCGTGTGTTTGGCGGTGAGCGTGTGCCTGGCGGTCAGCGTGTGCCTGGCGGTCAGCGTGTGTTTGTTTGGCGGTGAGCGTGTGCCTGGCGGTAGCGTGTGCCTGGCGGTCAGCGTGTGCCTGGCGGTCAGCGTGTGTTTGTTTGGCGGTGAGCGTGTGCCTGGCGGTGAGCGTGTGCCTGGCGGTGACCGGTCACCGAGGCCGCGCCCCCGCGGGCGAGCCTGCCGCCTGCCCCTCCCGGGAACTAGTGCAGCATCTCTGTGTCGAGCCGCCGTGGCTCTGAACCGCGTCTGTGAGCATCTGTACTTGATCTCGATTTATTTTGGTAGGTTACTTTTTGGGTGTGAGAACATTCAAAAATTTTTCCCCTATAAATTAATGGTAATTGCTTCTACACTTGATGCCATTTCCACTTACAAAAGGTTTCATAGGAACGCTTTATTTCAGATACCGGGCGAAACCTATATTCAATTTAGGTGCAAAATGTAAAGAACATTGCAATGTGGCTGCAGAAATGGCACTCTAATGTTACAGACTCTCCCAAGGAGGTTTTGGATAGATATGGGTCTCTGTAGAAAAATTCAGGGCTGAAGTGGAATTGTACAGAAAAGTTGCTTTTTATTTATTTATTTTTTTAGTGGCCAAATGTGGTCTCCAAGTAGACTGCAGAGTGTCCCAGTGGACAGATACCAGCGCTCAGGCTCGCCGCAGGACTCTGGGGCAGTTGCAGAGTGGAGTGTGACAGAATGCCCCACTGGCTGCAGACAGAACCAGGGAAGTACAGGGTGATGGGTGGGATCTGCTCTTCTGGAGAACACAAGTACCGGGCACTGCAAAGAAGAAAATGAGACCAATTTGAATATGAAATGGAAAGTTTTAAAATTGCAGGGGATTACAGAGAAAAGAAATAAAAATCAGTAAGAATTCTTCCTTCACACAGCATGAAAATGCTAGAAAATTTCTTATGTAGGAGGCAGAGAGGAAAATCCAAATAGATAAAACTCATACTCATGAGAAAGCAAAAGAAAAATTGACTGCAAAATAGTGAAAGAATATTTTGAAAACGATGTGATGCTAAATTTTTTTGAGAATGGAAACACCCGAAAGTGATGGTGGCAATATAGACTAGATGAGAAACCACGCTCCTTTCCCAGACGGTTGTGACTGCTAAAGTTTTCTGAAAACAGATGAAGAAAGCTGTCCTGAGATAATGTCTGAGATTTGAGCTCATCGGAAGGAGAGCCACCTCTACCACAGACTGTTCCAGTATGCTTGGGTGTGACTTGGAGCTTCTTGTATTTGATAAAGATTGGATGCTCTGCCTCCTCTGGGAATACAGAAAACAGGGTCAGACCAAGTTCTAAACTATATCCTTCTCTGTACTTGACCTTGAAGAAATGGAAATGCAAAGATGTGGGGAAAAAAGTCAAGCTAGAAAGTGAAGTCATCTGAAATATCTGTGGTGTTGGTATTCTCTCATTTGCTAATGTAAGTAAAATTGGAAGGAAGTTGTTTGGCTAGTGAAAATGCCTAGACAACTAATTATGAATTAACTTAGAAGAGAAGCATATTGAGAAGCATATTAATAAAAGTGAAGTTTCAGATATTATTTGATTAGTGTAGGTATCTAAAAGTATCTTAATAAATGTTACATGAACTAAGAAAATTCTAGTAGATTATAAAAGTTAGCAATTTTATGACACACTACCTTCCATTCCAGATACCATAAAATATTTCCAAATTCCTAAAAGTGAAAAACATTTCACTGAGGCAAGTAGCCATTTGAATAGGGAACAACCCCTCTCACTAAATTTGGTGTCCAGATTTATTTGTGCTAAGCATACAAGTGTAGGTCAAGTCTAGAGAACTATATTATTGAATGAAACAAACACCCAGTTGTTACTGTGGATGGACTGGAAACAAATCTTCCTTAGCGGGTAGAGTGAGGAGGGAGAGAGTGGTGGTGTTCGCCGCCTTCCACATCAGCAAAGCTGTAGGTAGGGGCCATTTCAGACTTCCTTCTATCATGCTGATTTTCAGATAAAATAGTATATAATCAGAGGTCAGCAAAATTCATCATTTCTCCAACTATCCTTCATGTGAGGAGTGTGTATTTAGGGCCAGTTATCTGCATAGAATGGATTTAAATGCTAAAATAGCTTCAATAAGAGGCCTTCTTTGCCCTTGCATTACTCTAGGTCTGGAATAAGAAAGATAAGGGTGATTTTAAGTAAGATTTTACAGGAATATACCATTACATTAGAGAGGAAGAGTAGCGAGCCCGGTCTTTTAAGTAAGAGAGTCTTGAGTTTTAAAGGGTTTTACTGGCTGTGTGGCATTGGGTAAAGGATTTCAACTCTCTAAGCCTCCATTTCCTTCTCTTAGTTCCTACCATTCCACCTGACTGAACTTTCTATTGAATCTCTGCTGGGGTCAGGTGCTGTTACCCCACAGGACAGTTGTGAAGGTTAGAGGAGCTGGCACATGTCAGGAATTCAATAAATAGCTATTGTTAGCATTGGTGATGTTACAGTGAAGTAACGGAGACGGAGTTGTAGAGGACGGAGTGTTAGGGTTATGGAGACAGTTTTAGAATAGTTGAGGAAAGAAAGTTAGGCAATTGTGTAGTGAAATATGGTTAGAATATTCAGGAATTACCTATAAGAGTCAGGAGCAGGAAAATTAAAATAAGAAAGCTGTGGAAAAGTTTCAGAAATGAGCAGTTTCCAAGCTTATCATCTTGTTATATCTTTGTCCTGTTGCTGCCAGCCTCTGAGGTGGGGAAACAGCACCAACCAAACAAACAAGCCTGGAGAAAAAAAAACCCTATTTGCCTCATTTCGGATGAAGATTCACTTTAGAGAAAGTCATCCTGGCCTTGGCGTTTTAATTACTTAGAAAATGGGAAAGGCGAGGGTGGATGTCAGCTCATTTGCTGTATTTAATTTCCGCCTAACATGCTCACATAGCCTTCCAGCCAGCCTCACTTGGGAAATCTCTCCTGACTCCAGCATATTCCCCAGATAGATAATGTTGGCTCAGGGAAAACCAAAAGCTGGTAAGGAAAAACCAGTAAAATCTGGTTTTCCCTTCCTTAGGTTCAACCCAGAGTGAGATATGAGAGGGAAATATGATTTTCTTAAGCCTCTGTTTATAATTATTTAAAAATGTAGTAGGATTCTGAACATAACGGCCCTAAGGTACTGGTTCACAGCTTGTCCCACATGTGCCCCAGCATGCAGGTGTGTAGAGAAGCTGCCAGATGATGGATGACCAGATGGAATGTTGAGGTGAACCGTTCCTGCAACGTGGTGTAGACTGTGCTATACATTAGCAAAAGGAAGAGGCAAGAAATGCAGCATAACTTAAAAGTGTGACCCGAGAAACCTGACCTTTCTCAGTATACAGGGGACCACTCTCTGGGCAATAAATAATACTGAGGGGCAATCAAGTAAATTAGGGTGAAAACTAGATGCCCTTATTGACTCCTTGGGACATTGAGATATTTTATATCTTTTTAAATCAAATGTGCCTCCAAATATTCCATTAGGCAAAATGTGTCAAAAACAGAAAAAAAAATTTGATAATCACTGATCTATCTGGTAGAAATTCTGATGCAGCAACATAGACATATGATAAAACTTATGAATCAGCCAAAAATCAGTTTATTAAAAACAATAAGACCAACTTGGCTGGTATCTTCTCAACTAAAACTCTCCTAGATTTTTCCTTTAATTATTTATGGAAATACTTAATCTTCAAAAAATTTACAGAGCAGATGTCATTATGATCTCCATTTTACAGAACAGGAAACTTCAGTTTATAATAAGTGACTTGCTCGAAGTTGCAGAGTTAAAATTTAAACGTGACCGTCTGAGGCCAGTGCTTGCTTAGCTGCTAACCTCTGCCGCCTGAGATCTTTCATGGAAATAGATATTCAGCAAATAGACTGTTTCATAGTTTGGAAATTCCAGGAAACGCTAAATTCTCCTCTTAGTGATGGAAAATAGCCATTATGCATTACGTTCATAGCATTTTGAGTTCCCTTGCTCTTTTTCATATTATGTAAAAATCCCGAGGGTCACATATAATCTACCTTATTTTTGGGTGATTGATGCTATGAAATATTATTTATTTTCACAAATGGAAACAAAAGTATTGTTATTTTTTGCATCTAAAACATCTTAACACAATCTGTGGCTTGGAAAATACAGTATTATTATGTTAGATACATTTTAAAGAAGGCAAAACTGAGTCACAGGGAAGCCCATTGACTACCCTAATTCTAACTCGCTGTTTGTTTTAAGCTCACTGTTCTGTTAGAGAGGTATGTTCCAATTATTATAAATTATTTAGCAGTGAAGGGTCTATTTAGCAGCATAGCTCTTGACTGTTCCTTCATGCTCACGAATATGGCTTCACTGATTGAGCCTAGTGCCTGGCCATGGGTAGTTGCTCAATCAATGAGAGACAATCATTATTGTCTGAATGAGAGAAAGAGTGTATATATATTACATGAATTTAAGTAAGAAATACTCTTACTTAGAAGTATTTGGATGCTTTTTCTGCTTCCTTTCCATGTAAGAACGCTGGTTTCTGTCAGAAGCCCTGGCTGACTGGGAGCACCTGAGACAACTATCTTTTTGCTCATCTGTTTCTCTGTCATGGGGGCAGAACCAGCTGGGAGTTCCTTTTGCTCTGCTCTACTTTAAACATTCCTCTCTTAAAAGTACAAATACATTTCTAAACAGCCTCCTCAAACAACACACAATTTCTAACATATTGGATAAGAAGTAGGGGATGAGTTACAGTGTCCATAACACCTACTTTCTCATCAGGTTAGTCTCTAAACAGTGTAACCTTATCTCATTTCATCACTGGACTCTGAGCTTGGAAGTAAGATCGCCAGCAATGGACTCGTGAGAGCAAACTTCCGCTGCAATCAATAACTGTGGTCTCAGACAGTTTGTTGTACAGTAACAGATTTTGCCAGTAATGTTATGTGGCCTTAAGTCTAATATACTTTAAACTGCAGCTCTCGTGTTATGCCTTATTGAGCTACTCGTCTACTCTGGTGGTGTTGACTTTTTCATTATAAGGCCTTCATCTTTAGAACATAGTTCTCTAAACGCTGAAACGTTTAGGTGCAGTGTGCTACTGGTAGCTCAAAAACCTGAAAGAATAAACATGGCCCCCTCATTGCTTAAAAGAGGGAGACACTGGGGGAAAAGTCTGCTTTATTCTAAACCTGTTTTCAAGGATGTCAATGGAAAATTCTCCAAAATACATCTACGGAAATGCTGACCTCATGAGCAGTTATTTCTTTAATGATGGGAATGTCCATCTACGAATATTTTCAATAAATTATATAAGTGGTTTTGGAGACAACATTTAGATTGTCATTAAACATGTTTTTTCCCTTTTATTCAAATTGGGAACAAGCGATTTAAGATATTCATCTGGCTAACTCCATCAGATCTCAGATTAGAGCTGAGTTCTTCGTGAAAGTCTAGACTAAGTGACACCCGCCGTAAAGGCGCACTGATCCCTGCCTGCTCTGGTGCGACAGTCGCTCCAGTTGGTTAGGGAGACAGCAGAGCAGGGGATGTGCAGGCTGACTGCTAGTGTGCACAGCTTGGCTCTGCCTCTTACTACTTGCTTGCACAGAGGCAGTTCTCCTTTCCGTGTCTCAGTTTTCTCGTCTGTAAAATGGCGATGCCAATAATAGAACCTGCTTCATAAAATTATTGTGAGGACTAAATGAGTTAATACGTTAAAAGTACTTTTACTAGTGGCTGGCAGTTGCACTCAAATATTCAATATAGTTGTTAACATTTGTTTTATTTACTAGCTTTTCTAATAGGCCGTAAGCTCCGTGAAGACCATTTCTCTTTCTGCCCTTTATCACTAGTAATGAGCACAGGTCTAGATGTGGCAAATGATCAATCACTGTTTATTAAATGAATAAATGAATGTGCGAGCCTTGTTATTTTGAGAATAGAACCCGTGACTGATTCTAACCACTAATGGCGTTTGATGACTTCTGTCCTTTTTCTCTGCCAATTTCCTTATTCAGATATGTTCTTTCTTGTAGGCCTTTTTCTATAAAATCTTTTCTCAAAGACATTTTTATCCAATATAGCTTTCCCAAACAAGGGAAAGAATCTGGTTAGACATTAATTTATTCAGTAAATAATTTTCCAGACCTGGTATGTATATAAACTAGCACTGAAGGGCATTTAAAGAAATGTCTCAGGTACTCTGTTGCCCAAAGATCTTAAGTGTCTGTGGTCATAAACCATGAATTAGAGATATTGCTCTTTGCTGCTTCTTTTCAGTATTCTAAGTACCGCTTGGCTGTCTCTGGATCCATACTTCAGTGCCACAGGGAAAATCAATAGTAATAACACAAGATGCTGAGAGTAGGGGTTAGGTTTCTCCATTTTCTAAACTAATCTTCTAAGTCTCAGACTTTCCTGTGAACTGGGAAAATATTGAACTATACAGGATTTGGATTAATACTGGCAAAGAATATACAAAAATAATATACAAAATGATGCCTGAAGATATTTTATTTTAGTCCTCTTAATGGAACATTCAATTTAGTGAGTACATGTAGATTTGGCATCTTAACATATTCTTTAATTTTCTAGCCAAAGTAACGTGTTGATTTGGCAGTTTTCTTCTTTGAGTGTTAATAGTTCTAAAATGGAAAATTCAGGTAAGAAAAACTCCAGGTTTGTTCCCTGCCATGCCAAATAAACATCGTATTTTAATTGTCAATGACAAATTTCATTTGATTCTCCCTAGAATGCCATATGCTTCATGTGAATATCATAAAATTTTATCTCTGAGTTTTATTCAGTTTTATAACTAATGCTTTTGAAAATCTTATTCTTTAGAGTAATGGTGTTAATAAAATAAGCTATCTGCAAGCTTAGTCAAAACAGGCTTTTTTCCTGGGTGCAATTTTTGAAAGATTTAGTAGTATCACGGTTTTTATATGCAATCTGAATCTTGCACACTGGAATATTCGGGGTAGGATTATTTTATAGGGTGCAATATTCAACTTATTTCTTCTATAAAAATAAAATTAAATGTGTTATGAATCAGAAAATATGAATCAGAAAGTCAGATTACTTTAGTGTTATGAAAATCATTAGGACTTTGTGCATTTAATCAAGATTGATAAATATAGTCGATGATGGAGAGAGTCCTTGAATTCCAAGAAATGCTGTTTCAGTCAGGATGGGCTAGCTGCGGTAAGAGACAACACCAAAGTCTCGATGGCTTAAACCCACAGTCAATTTCACTGCATGTTGAATGCAGTTTAGCCTGGGGGCCTCTGCTCATCAAACTCACTGAGGAACCCAGGCTGGCCCACTCCCTGCCAATGCCTATTTCCACACTTCCTGCCTCAGGAGGAAGGGAATGTGGTGAATCACACTGGCTCTCAAAGCTTCCTGACAAAGCAAGCCGCCTGGCCGAGCCCAACTCAAGAGGACGGAGAAGTCAGCATAGCTCTACCTGATGACGTGCCCAAGGGAGCAGCATTAAAATATTTTGACCAGCCCTTATGACACAAATTTGTCTTAAAATTGTTCTTGTGACTGTGGTCATGTGTACTACTATTTGCGTCCTCTTGATCATATACTCTCTTGTTACTTATAAAATCAGGATATTTCTGTGATATGGCTCATTCTTCTACCTTATTGGTTGTTAAATTAATGTAAGGAGCAAAAGATGGCAATTCTTAAGAATCCAATGATTTCCAGACTAATGAAGTAGCTGAGTTCCTCTAATTTCTTTCTCTCATGTATTTTCTGACCTTATATCAATATGATCACATGAATTCCCATTCTGAGTCACACCCATGATCATTCGAGCTAAAAATCTTATCCTTGGCAAAAAATGAGTCACTTCCATTATTTCTCCATTGTTCTTAAAGAAAAATGATAGAACTAGCATATGAATTGCTATTTTAAAAATAGATGATTCTATTTAATGTGTATAAAGATGAATATGCACTTAGCAAAAATCAAATATTTCTTTTTTCTTGAATTTCAAGTCCCAATGAAAAATACAATATATTAAAATTCAGTTTTAAAGAAGTATGTCTAAAACAGTTTTGAAAGATATAATAGAATAAAAAATAGGTATTTTGAACAGAAGTAAAATGATGAAACTCTAGTGATTCCATTTACCTGGTTTTGTAATTCCGGGTGAAAAAAATGGTGGAATTTATTTGTGGAATCATATTTTAAAACAGAGAATCCCAGTAAGACCATACAACTCATCCCAGTGGTTTTACAAATGATGAAGCTGAGAACCAAGAACTACACTGGAGAGCAGGATAGGCCAGATGCCTGCCTTCGGAACATTAAGTTCTGTGAGAGAAGAATCAGACCATGAGTTCCACAACCAGTTAGTCCCAGTGATACATGCGGTGTGCCTGGAATACCGGAAGTACTCAGTATCACTGTTCCTCCTGAGAGGTGGGCCTCTATTCCAAGTTCTCTCCCAATATTTTTATTCCCAAATATGCCTGACATATAGACATTTAGCTCCTGATTAAATCCTTCCAGATCTATACAGCTTTCAAGGCAGTTAGAAAGCTTTCTTGGTTGTATTTTTGAAATATACTATAAGAACTTAGATATTAGTGACCACAATTTGTCACAGTTTATTCTTATTCTTTCCAATTTAAAAAAAAAAGGTATAATGGCTTGACTGCAATAAAATTGTCTTTATGTTTGATTGATTTTCTTTTTTTTTTTTTTTTTGTGAGGAGATCAGCCCTGTGCTAACATCCGCCAATCCTCCTCTTTTTTTGCCGAGGAAGACGGCCCTGGGCTAACATCCATGCCCATCCTCCTCCACTTTATATGGGTCGCCGCCACAGCATGGCTCGCCAAAGCAATGCGTCGGTGCGCGCCCGGGATCCGAACCAGCGAACCCCGGGCCGCCGCAGCGGAGCGCGCGCACCCAACCGCTTGTGCCACCGGGCCGGCCCCTGATTGATTTTCTTATTTAATGACACAGAATTCTGCTTAAAATATCTTCTATTAAAATACAGATGTAGATGCAATATATTCCTGAGAAACACAAAAATTTATGTCATATCTGACAAATTATGACATTATGACATATTTAACTCAAATTTCAAAAATTGAGATACTATGACATTTGTTTTTATCAATGTGATAAATAATTGTTCCTTTAAGGGTTAGCTTTCCTACTTAAATGTAAAACTGGTAGATGTTATTTGAAAAAGAGGCTGGCTGATAATTATGTTTGGAATAACACATGCCTTTTGCATCTAAGTATCTTTTTTATGAATTATCAAAGAGTATAAGATGTCGACGTAAATACTCCATAATCAATCTATAAATCAAAGTGGGGTGAGTTTATTATGAGACCATAGCCTGGGGCCTTCCTTCCCTAAGGAAGGAAAGGCACTGAAGAAGTGGGATGTACAGAGCAGTTATATACCATCAAAGAGCATGTATCACATATGATTGCAATGTCCCTTTTACAATAGCCACAAGATCGCCCTGCCAGGTTGCCCTGTCAGAACAGTTATTGATGAACACAGCGGGGAGCAGGTCTGCTGTCTCAATGGGCGTGGCTGGTATCAGGTCTGTTGTCTGGAGCTGGGTGGTCACAGGATGAGCGCAGCAATCAAATCCTAGCCTAGGGAGAAATGCTTATCCTTAAGGTAATGCCAATGTGGGGGAAGTTGCACCCTTATCTTAAGGGCATTTACTGTCTCTTTGGGACATGGCAAAGCAGATACACAATGCATGTTTAAAGGTGACAGGCCCTGTTGGAAAAACAAACTCAGGCCGAATTAGCTTTACCCAAATGGCTTCCTCATGTGCTCCAGTATATCCTATTGCTTGCCATTTATTTATCAAGGACATGCAAAAGAAGCAATAATGAAAATACTAGGAACATTCAGTTTTATAAAATGGCGACCCAGTATACCTGTGAAATATAAGACAAGAAGAAATAAATTTAAGTAAATTGTTTGCAAGATAATAGCCAGTGTAAAATCCTATTCTTTGAAAAGAATAGTCGCATTGTTATATCTCTCTGCAGCAAAGACTTTTTTAAGAAAAAAAAAACTGCCTCTGGTAGCATTTAAAATTGTATAAGCATTGGTTTTTGACCATATAACATTAATTTGTATAAATGATTTCAAAGGAAACCAATAAAGGTATGGATATAATCCAGAAAGTAGAAGAACAGTAAATAACCCTTTATTGTTCTGAGTGGGAAAACAACCTGGCTCTTATTGAAATGCCCCACATGACTCATACTGCTGTTACGTGTCTCCTTTTCATAGCGTCAATTATCAGCATTTTTAAAGGATATGTTGTTTACAGAAAGGCATATAAGCTGAGAGAAAATCATAAAGAAAGGCTTAATAAATGCTGTGAAATTTGCTATTTCAGTTAGGTCATTAAAACAAAATCTCATCTGTCTATATTATTTTGATTGCCACATTTATAGGGGCTCCTAATTTACATATTTATGTATATATGTGTATGTATATATAACAAATGTATATTTATGCAACTATATAAATAAATATATGTATTTTGATAGGGACTGCCAAATTGCCCTCTCTAGGTGGTGAACCAATTTACACCTTTCCAAGTCAGTGTAGAAGAGTGCCTAATTTCCCTGCTATGAATGGTCAAACTTGTAGAATTTTGCCATTCTCAATAGGAGTAAAGGGATTTCTCACTTCTCTTATTATGAATGAGATTAAACATCTTTTCATATGTTTTCAAATGATTTGCATGATGTTTTCTTTGAACATGGTTAATATTCTTTGCCCATTTTTGTTGTTGTTGCTGGATTGTTAATCTTTTCCATTTTGAGGAATCATCTAGATTTTGGGAGACTAGCACTATCTATAATATAAATTATAAAAGTTTTTCCCAATTTCTCCTTTGTCATTTGAGTTTACTTACATTAATTTTTTTCTATGAAGAAATTTAACATTTTTTTGTTGCCAAGTTCATCAATCATTTATTTTTATGGTTTACAGATTTTTGTGTCAATGTTAGAAAGATTATTGAAGAGATTATAAAGAATTCTGTTATGTTTCTTTAATAACTTTGTTTATATTTAAATCATTTATCCGTAATCATAAATCACTTATCTTGGTTTAATGAGTGAAACTGGGATCTATTTTTTTTTCCAAATGGGTTCCTAATAATTCCTAGTTCATTTTTCCCCACTACTTGTGTTACTGCCCAACGTGGGCCTTCTGCTCGCCACAAGACATGCCAATAGTCAAGAGGCAAGGTGGTAGGAAAAAAAAAGGACTTTTTTATTACAGCTTGCTAGCAAGAGGGAAGATGGCTGACTAATGTCTGGAAAAAAAACCATTTTAAGGGGGCACAAATCTTATAGCAGTTATATAGGCTGGTGGGTTATTGGGGAGGGGGTTAGGAATGTTGACCCTCTGGTCTTACAGACTGGGAGTGCCACACCAGATCTTTCAGTTTTCATTAATGATGGCTATTAGCGTAGATTCTCTGTTCGGGGGGGTCATCACATTCCTAAGGAACTCAAAAGAACAAAGTTATCATCTTATCGCAGCTGGGAGGTACACGCACAAGCAGGGGTCGTAAAATCTACAGAGCAGTTAGATCTCCTGGAGGGTGCATATCCAGCTGGGTTAGTTAGTCAGAGGTCATTCAAAGTTACAACAGAGTTTTTCTTTTCTACAATGTGGCTTCCCTTATGGCAACCTTGTCTTGAGCCGGTATCAATTGCTGTGCCACCATTTTCACATAATAGTTATCCATGTGTATTTGGGTCAGTCTCTGTACTTTTTGTTGTTCTGTTCTATTGCTCTCTCTTTCTATTCATAAATTTATACTGTGTTTTAATCTGATAAGGCTGATCCCCGTCCTTCCATTACTCTTCTTTTTCAGAATTTTGTTGGATATTCAGGTTTTTTCTTCCAAACTTTAGAAATACCTTGCATAGTTCTGAAAAATAAAATATTATTGGGATTGCTTTTATTTATAAATTAATTTGAGACAGTTGACATCCTTATGATGTTAAGTCTTCCTCTCCAAAACACAGTATGTCATTCCATTTATCCTAAAGTTTTCTTTCATGTCCTTAAGGAGCATTTTATTTTTTCTTTGTTTCGATCCATCTTGTTTCGTTTACTCCTCAGCAGTTGTTTGTTGGAATTAAAAATGAGGTCTTCAATCACTTTGTATGGTGACCAATGGTAACTAGACTTATCGTGGTGATCATATATATACATGTCGAATCGCTATGATGTACACCCGACCTAATATGCTATTGTATGTCAATTATACTTCAATAAAAAATAAATAAATAAAAATAAACAATGAATGAAAAAAATAAATGAGGTCTTTGTAGCTTGTAATAAGTTATCGTTTATATGTAATGGAGGCTATTGATTAGTGTATATTGATACTGGTACCTTACTAAATTATTTTTTTCAGCTTTATTGAGGTATAATTGACGAATAAAACTGTATTATATTTAAAGTGTACAACATGACGATATGATATACGCATATATTATGAAAGGGTTCTCATAATCAAGTTAATTAACACATCCATCACCTCACATAATTACCCTGTGTGTGTGTGTGTGAGAGAGAGAGAGAATGCTTAAGATCTACTCTCAGCAAAATTTCAATTGTACAGTACAGTATTATCAACTATAGTCACCATGCTGTACATTAGATCCTCAGACTTATTCATCTTATAACTGAACATGTGTAACCTTTTACCAGCCCCTTCCCATTTCCCTCCATCCCCTAGCCCCCACCATTCTGCTCTCTGTTTCTATGAGTTCGACTTCTTTTTTTTCAGCTTCCATGTAAGACATACCATGCAGTATTTGTCTTTATCTGTCTTGCTTATTTTACTGAGTATAATGCCTTCCAAGTTCATACATGTTGTCACAAATGACAAGATTTCCTTCTTTTTTAAGACTGAATAATATTCCAGTGTGTGTGTGTGTATATATCTATATATAGAGAGAGACTCAAATAAATATATCACATTTTCTTTATTCATTCATCTATTGAGGGACACTTAGGTTGTTTCCATACCTTGGCTATCATGAATAATGCTGTAATGAACATGAGAGTACAGATATCTCTTTGAGATGATTTCGTTTCCTTGGATATATACCCAGAAGTGGGATTTCCAAATCATCTGGTAGTTCTATTTTTATTTCTGGAGGAACCTCCATACTGTTTTCCATAGTGGCTGTACCAGTTTAAATTTCCACCAGCAGTGTACAAAGGTTCCTTTTCTCCACATCCTCACCAGCATTTGTTATCTTTTTTCTTTTTGATAAGAGATATCCTAATAGGTGTGAGGTGATATGTCATTGTGGTTTTGATTTGCATTTCCCTGATGATTAGTGATGTTGAGCACCTTTTCATGTTCCTGTTTTCCATTTGTATGTCTTCTTTAGAAAAATGTCTATTCAGATCCTCTGCCCATTTTTTTAACTGAGTTATTTGTTTTTATGTTATTGAGTTGTATAAGTTCCTTGTGTATTTTGGATAATAACCCCCTATCAGATATATGATTTGCAAATATTTTCTTCCATTCCATAAGTTACCTTTTCATTTTGTTGATGGTTTCCTTTGCTTTGCAGAGGCTTTTTAGTTTGATGTAGTCTCACTTGTTTATTTTTGCTTTTGTTGCCTTTGCTTTTGGTGTCAAATCCAAAAAAATCATTGCCAAGACCAATGTCAAGGAGCTTACTTCCTATGTTTTGTTCTAAGAATTTTATGGTTTCAGGTTTTACATTCAGGTCTTTAATCCATTTAGAGTTTATTTTTGTATGGTGTAAGATAGGGGTCCAGTTTCACTCTTTTGCATGTAGATATTCAGTTTTCCCAGCACTATCTGTTGAAGAGACCATATTTTCTGCCTTGTGTGTTTTTTGCATGCCATCAAAAATTAGTTGACCATATATGCATAAGTATATTTCTAAGCTCTCTATTCTGTCCCATTGATCTATGTGTCTGATTTTATGCCAATAACATACTGTTCTTATTACTGTAGCTTTGTAATATAGTTTGAAATCAGGAAATGTGATGCCTTTAGCTTTGTTATTTTTCTTCAGATTATTTTCGCTGTTCAGAGTCTTTGTGGTTCCATATGAATTTTTGGATTTTTTTTTTCTATTTCTGTGAAAAATGCCATTAGAATTTTGATAGGGATTGCATTGTGTCTGTAGATTGCTTAAGGTAGTATGAACATTTTAACAATATTAATTCTTCCAGTCCCTGAATGTGGAATATCTTTCCATTTATTTGTGTCATCTTTAATTCCTTTTATCAATATTTTAGAGTTTTTCATGTACAGATTTTTCACCTCTTTGGTTAAATTTATTCCTAAATATTTTATTCTTTTGGTTTTGTTGTAAATGGGTTGTTTTCTTAATTTTTCTTTTCAATAGTTCGTTGTTCGTGTATAGAAGTGCAACTGATTTTTGTTTTGTTTTGTTTTTTTTGTTTTTTTTGTTTTTTTTTTTGGTGAGGAGATCAGCCCTGAGCTAACATCCGCCAATCCTCCTCTTTTTTTGCTGAGGAAGACGGCCCTGGGCTAAC